TCAGTTTTTTAAGCTTTCAATGCATTTACTTCAGCGAGTCAACAATTGATATATATTATCTTATCATAATTATAATTTTTCTTGTTTTATCTTATTGCGGTTTTGTTTAATTCACGTATATATAGCCTTCCTTCTCACTGTGTAGCGATCTACGACACATCTTGTATTTTAGCTCACCCGTTGTACGTGATGAATTAATTTCTCGTTTTTTCGAGGATCTTGCAGTTTCTCCGCTCAACACTTTTTCTACGTTTGCTTTCCATTTATTTGTTCTCATTACTTCATTTTTACCTGAATCTATGTCTTTCGTGGTGTTTAACTTCTTTGTTCAACCTATAATCTTTCCGTTTCTTTTGCCGCGTATAATCGCTGTTCAGTTATTTCTGTATTGATACTTTGATGAATGTGCATTTTTCATAGTTCGTTTTATTTTGGATTTTCTCTTAACCTTTCCAGGTGATCCTGTAAATCGTACATCTGACATGCTTCGTAAGTTTTTCGATATTCATTTTTTCTCAATCACATTATTTCATCTTCTGAGATGTAATTGTTATCAATAGAATGGATTTCGCGTGATTTAGCGTTTTTGTTATAGATTAACTTTAAAAAAAAAGTTGAAGGAAAGGTTCGTATTGCAATTGCAGTACGTGATTGAACGTAGTTCTAACTGTGGAATGATCAATTATGAGATAACAATCTTTGATAATTTTTACTTCAAGTATCCTTCGAATAATTTATTCACAGCTGTTGTTCGCTGAACAAAATCTTTTACACGTGTAATCTCAATGCTGTTCGGTAATCACTTGGTGGGCTGGATTCTTCTTTATATGCTATTTTGTACGTTGGTGGCTATGTTTAAACGTAAATATACTGACTTTTCAGTTCTGTTTACTTCAATCAAGCTATTATAAGTAACTTAAAATAAAATTTGATATATTGATAGCCATTAATTAAACTACAAATAGGAGGTTGATTGTGAGTTATTTTCAATGTAAACGTTTAAAATAGTCAAGAAAACATGATGCTTAAACACTTGCGATCTATAAAGTATACATTATAATCATGGGATAGAAATCAGGTGTAAAATCTAACTTCAATGTGTTAAATGATGTCGATTTCCTCACATCGATTTATCTTTAAATTTGCAATTGTGCATTGTTTAATATCTGAGATTGCGCATTACATCTAACTGGTGTTTATCTATATTGTTGAACTCATGGTCATATTTCAGATATTTTGAGACACACAATTAGTCGTTTACTGTTATATGTTTTTTGCATTTTATCTTTGTGCATAACGATCAAAATGTTCGCATTTCTTGGTATGCTTATCCTCATTGAAAAGTGAAAATTATGAATTTCATTGATTTTCAATGGCGGTTACTGATTCTGCATTATCTTTATTTACTCCAGTCCAAACATCTTTGTACATGTTCTTAATATGATAAATCTTCAACCAGCATATTTATCTTTCGTTGTGACAATGTTTGCAACACAATACTCACGAAATTTATTGATAAGTGAATTCAAAGTTATTTTGTGATGTTGTTTTTTCCAGCCATTTCTTCCACCATTGAAAAACTAGGAGTCGATAATTCTAAATAATTAATTATAGCTTGTGAAATTCTAGTAAAATTCCATCAGCGATAGGACGTCTTATAAGGGTGTGAATATCTATCTCCCTATCTCAATTTTCCGAAATTGAATTTTGAAATAGAACAAGGAATATGAATATATATCATATATGTATCAATGAGCCTGCATGTTCACAAAAATAAAGAAATAATTTCATAATTTACCACATACAGATGAGGTTATCAGAAATACGTATTAATATCTTAAGAAAATGATTTCAGAAATAATGGAGTAAAAATAGATGGGCTGATCATTATAAGACGAAAAAAGTGTCGATAAAATTCGTTACAAAAAGAAGAATCAGAAAAAATTGAAAATCACGAAAGTTTGTATCTGAATTTTAGAAGCTCAATTTCTGTATCAGCTGTGCTTCAGTTCATGTTTGCAACTGTACGAGCGATTCAAAAGTTTTGACACACAATTTCATATTTTATTCATGATCTGCATTTCATCGTTCCCGGATTTCCAGTGAAAACAACACGAGGAGAAGCAAAGCGAGAAAAACGTAAGTTTGTGATATATTTCAGATAAACTAACTCCCTTTTGACATATCTCCATCATATTTGTTTGCTAAACCACTCATACTAATATTGTTACTTGTCTTTGTGATAAACTCCCGAATGAAAACATGAGTTTTTACTGAACTTTAGACATCTGGTTCACCTACTTGAGTTCTGTGATGATGAACATGGATGTTGGCAGTTGTTTACAAATTGCACGTAGAAGCGTTTAAGCCTTAAACTGTCTATGAATATTATATAACTTGCTAATATATGGCCGTCAACAATTATACCCATTTTAAGTGTAATCGTTTTTTACTGAAGTGACATATTATTGTGTAACGTATCTCAGAAACATTATGTGAGTAACAGTTGACGTTGATAGTCTTCTCCATCCGCTTTCTGAACATGAAATAAGACACTTGTAGGTTATTTGCCACCTGCTAGTGAAGTCATAAATATACTGAATTCAGAGTTTTAAGGCAATGTGAGCCATGAAATCATTAACACTTCATTTACATCATAAACGTGATATAAACAAATTTCATAAGACTGTGAAACGTTCACAGTTATATGATGGGGATTTCAAGCTCCCATTCGTTGATATAACACAACCCTAGAATCAAATAACAACTATTAATGAGTTAATTCTTGAATTCCTACTCCATTACAGACTGACTCGTCCAAAGTAATTTATGCAAAATACGTGACGAAAAGTGAACGAGCAATCAAAGCTGAATCACAAACGTATGGCAGTCACATTTTCCTCACAAGTCGGACGATGCTTGTATGTTGTGATGATAGTATTACAGCAGTTTGTAAATAACACTAATTTGTGATGTGTCTGTTCCTAAGGTTACCACTGAATTTCTATTAACTAATCCGAAATCTCTAATGAATAGCACTGTTTGCAGGTACGAGACTTATAGGTACATTCTGTTACCTGCTTTTTGATTAAGTTATTGGATGTGATGCTGATAACAAATTTTAATTGTTTGTCTCAAGACTGATTTGTTATTTTTCAGAATAGTATGAAGCTTATGGAATTTATCATTGTGGAAGATCGTATGGAAAACCGGTTTACAAGTTTACGATAACTATTTTAAATTGCCTACTGCCAAGTTCGTTCATCTGATGAATTGTTTAAATATAAATATAACAACCACACCTAGTGTTATACATTATAAATCCAGTGAGTTTGTTTAATTATAGTCTAAATAAAGCCAATACAAATATTGATGCAGAATAATGTTGTCGCATTATATTTCATGGTTTTTTGCAACCTGCATACAACTGAATATGTATTATGGTTTAAGATTGAGGTAAGACATAGTATGAAACGATTGATATAATAGAAAGCAAAGAATTAAATGACCAAGGTGATCAACAATAACTATATATATATATGCATGAACAGGTCAAAGGTTATTTGGTGTTAGACTTATGGAAACAATAAGGATGGGTGTTGTAGTAGTCGAGTGGAGTTCGGAAGCAGATAAGATAAATTGCGTGATAATTTTAGAGATAATGAATAATTCACTGAATCAAAGCTAATAAAATAATTGAATACAATTAGAGGAGTGCACATAATCTAAGAGGATAAAGTTAGCTAATAGGTGTGAGTGGAAGGGTGGTTTAAGAATTAAGTAACCCATCTTATCAGGGAACTAACTGCATGAAATTGTCTAGTTCGTTACTTATACTAATTTGATAATAGAAGTAAGCCGACAATGAAAAATATGTCAGGCGTTTGCCTAATATGTAAGGTTCTACGTGGAAGTCGCATTATTGTTTTAAGTGACTCGTTGATTCGTCAAAACTAACGACGATATAATGCTAAAGTCTAACGACACTTCAAAACTAATGCAGTAGAACAAGTCCTTAATTCTCACACTCAATTATTCGTTAAAACCATTGGTATACCTCCCGATGAAAGTGTGAAGAAGACGAAAATAAAAATTGAGAAAACTTTTATTGATTTGTCATGACTACTAAATTAAAAAGATAAGTTTACAAGTTCTGTAAATATTGAAGTCATAAGTAAAGAACTCTTTGTCGCTTTCTGCTCGTGCGCAGTCCATAACAAATTTTTCCGTCCATGTAGTTGTTCCCGTGATTTTTTTTCAATTTGTCAGGAATCCACGTTACATCTGCACGCATTTCCTTTCGCGTCCAAGCAAACATTACAGAATATCCTCGACCAAAATTATCCGTCACAATCAACTGGAATAAGGAACATCTATAAAATGTAATACAACGAAGAGAATAATCACTTATTATTGGTATTATAAGTAAACTAAATACACACAACTTCTGGATATTTATTGTACAAGTATATTTGGTCATGACTACTGAAATATTCTCGTTACACATCCATTTTCTAAATGTTCCTCACTTCACCTTTTTGTCACAGTATATTCATTACCTGCTTTCTAGTACAACAACCTGAAATATATTTATATACACTTACCAGTGGAGAGTTTAGCCTTCATAGCTTTGACATCAGCAGCGGTACTTTGCTTACCAGTTCTCTCCTTAATACTTTCTATAACTTCATCTGCTGACCGACAGTGAAATATTACTGGCTTCAAGTTTTCTTTTTCTTCGGATGACAATCTACTCCACGGATCACAAACCATCCATGAACTACTACAATGATGGTTGTGAGACATGTAAGATTTTATGGTGTATTCTTGTTCTTCCAATCTTATACGAAACCTAGATTGGCAGTTTAAAAATTTAGACCTTAAATGTCACAGATTAGTTAAAGTTCTGACGGTTTTTTATTCACTGTCAGACCTTATGATTAACGTTTACGACCAAATGTGCAACGAAACACCACAAACCAGTATTTATATTGCATATCCTTCAACAATTTACTTTCTGCGTGAACAAAGTGCATATGGGTATTCTAAGGAAACATAGATTTCTTCTTCCATACTTTATGGAAATCCTTTAGCACACTATCAAATTCAATCCGGCTCCCGAATCGCTTGTTCAGCAGAATACGTTGAAACGCCTCGCTTACGTCCACTTAAATTTCACTTGAGCATGAAGCACCACAGACAACACGCATTAATTATTAAAAAATGTTATTCGTTGAAGAAAATAACTGAAAAAAATACAATAAATATTTAGGACTTACCGTCAAGTTGACATTTCGACTTAACTCCTTTGTTTAACAGCGACTCACAAAAACTCTGCGTACCTATAACGTTTTACGTTATCTTTTCTGGACCTTATCAACAAATTATATAAAAGTGATTTTTACAGGAGAACTGAAGACATTGGCGGATTGAAACCGTTTTCTTGTATATTAATAATTTACTGTGTTTTGGGATGTATTTGTTTAACTTAACTTTTGAACTCGTTTGTTTATATAATTATTTATATCATTTGGTTTCCTTTTGTCGTTGGTTTGGTATTTTGTAGTTAAGCTCCGAGAACCTACAAAATTGAAGGTTTGTTTTGTAATTGTTGTTATTATTGTTGTAATTATTGTTGTTAGAACGACGTTTGGTTGACTGTTTGTCAACTGTGAATAAATTTGGTATCTGAATTGGCGTTATGGTTCTGTTGTCAATTTCGGTTAGTAATTTACGAGTAAATCCATAGTCCGTACTTCAATAACTGGAACGAGCAAAACCTGAACGTAACACAAAGTTCTTCTGATAATTATCTACAACTAGAGAAATTAAAACGAAAACAGAGAGCACGGAACAACAAAAAAGTAATTACCAAAATATATTAATCAGGTCTACATAAATGCGTGTTTGATGTGACACAGTGATATACTGTTTGTGTTATTCAAATTAGTTAAAATTGCTAGGGGCGGTGTTGACATATTGACAGCAAGTGAGCGGTTTTACTAAGGGAATTCACTAATAAAGATGGTTAAACATTTAAGGTTCCTAAAATATCACTCGTGGAATGAGATACACATAAAGGTGCTAGACCATTCAATGCATTTTCAGAAGAACAGTATGCATCGATGCAGCGAACAAATAATGGGAGTGATTTTATCGTGCGGATAGGTTGTGGTAGGTTATTCCAGAGTCCAGAAAATTTACAGGTGAAGTAATTCATATATAGAGATGATTTAGGAGTTTGTTTCACTAGTGCCAAGGAATTACGGATGTCATAATGAGAGGTTTATGCATATTGAATCGCGTGATCGGATGTAAACGATAGTTTATGAAGTAGTTTGAAGAAAAACATAAGATTTAGTTTGAGTCTCCTCCTCCATAAAGGGTTTAGTCCAAGTTTATTACATCTGGAATTATAAGTTAAGGTACAATCAGCTCCAAGAATACGAAGTGTAAATCGTCTCTGTACTGATTCCAGCCTTAATTTATCCTTTATGAATGCACTGCTAAGAATAAACGTGTAATATTCTAGAAGAGGTCGAGCACAAACGTTGTACATTAGAATACGTGACTCAGTGTTGTAAAGATTTCGAGTTATGTAACCTATTAGACGTTGAGACTTAGAGGTCTGTTTTAATATATGTTCTGTAAACGACAAGTCTTGGGAATATCTAAGTCCTAAGTCTACTACTGTATGTAACCTAGATAACACTTCACCATTTATGGTAATGTTTAGGTTGAGTGATTTATCGCCGAAGCATATCCATCCACATTTAGCCGCATTAACCTACAGTTGCCATTTTAAGCACCACTGTGCTACCTTGTTAAGCTCCATGCTGATGCAATTTTCCATATTTTTCAGGTCATGTGGAGAAAATGAATATACTACTTTAAGATCATCTGCATATAGAAGGGGCTTACCGACACAAAAACTTTCACAAATATCATTGATAAACACTAAAAAGAGCAAAGGACCAAAGACACTACCTTGCATTACTCCACTTCTAACAGGGACAGCGTTAGACAATTAAGAGTTAATTTTAGCTATTTGGCATTGATTGCTGAGAAAAGAATCAATCCAAGCAAGCAAAATCATACTTAGTGTTCCAACACCATCTACTTTTGCGTTTAGGTCAGATTTACTTGAATTGCTCATCAATTCAATAATCCTCCGTTTTCATAAATAATATCTGAGTGAGACAACCATGGGAATGAATGAACATGGACAACTGTTCAACTGTTTCTTTACTTGAGTTAGTATAGTTCATTTGTATCACTGAACGAGTTTCAGATCAGATACTCCAATTTGTGTATACTCCGATAGGATTTTTGTATCGTCATAAGGGGATTGTATGCGAAGATTTAACGAGTCTATACATTTTGTATGATGTTCACGATTAGATGTCCAAAACAGTCATTATTAATCATATGTTGATTATTTTTGTTGTTTAACAAATTTGAAAAGCTACATTTGTCATTTTCTAGAGAATATATATTGGTCAATATTTCCTGCAAATTCGTTTTCGGTGATCTACACAAATTTCATATAAGTGGATATATTTTGAACGTACTTATATGAATGCATTGATAATAAGATCATTCCCATTATTCGGACTATCAGGAAGTGTGGCGCATAGAGTTCATCTTTTGTGTGTGGGCTGTGATGATGCCCGGGTGCCCAAACAGAAGCAGGTGGTTATCTTAGGGGGCCACACCCCGAGCCTTTGATTTAATGGTCTAACCCACAAGGCAGTGGAGCACCGTAAGGAGATGCAATCCCATGGTAGCCGGTGACCGACGATTGGTTCATACGCCATTTGTTCCCGCAGGATACTGGAGCCCATGTGCACCATTGGTTTGTGATCCGGTTAAAGCGCCGGACGTTCGCTTTTCGTCCTCTCATTTTCGTAAACAACACCCCCGCCACGAGAAGGCAATGAGTAGGACTTCCCTGGCAGAGGCTGTATACGCGCGGCCGTGTGAGTATTTCGAGAGGGAGAGCGGACTCTCCCCACTCTCGCCCGTACCAGGGCGTTCTCCGGCTAAAATCACCGAGCCCGACGTGATTCGAACACGCAACCTTCTGATCTGGAGTCAGGAGGTGTGGCGCATATATATTGGCGCTTTCCTGTACCAATATTTATGTGCCGAAATAAATAATAAACTATAAGGAGCTCTGTATATACATTCAAGTAGTAGACTATGATTCAGGGTGTTGACTGATATCCAGACTGATTCTGGTAAACTATTCAGGACACTATCTTCAACTTTATTAGTCGATAGGGTATCCAAAGCATATATAATACAACCACATCCTTGCTTAGTTTCTCTGTCGCAGCCACAAAGTCGATAGTTCTGGATATTTAATTCTGAATTAGATACTGCTTGAGAGCACCATGTCTCAGTGATAAGTATGAAAGGATTGGCTAGAAAAGCTAATGTTCTCAAGGCTAAAATTTTCTTCAGAAGTGAACGTGCATTGATAAGTAATAAGTTTAAAAAAGGAGTATGGAGTGTCAAAAAACCGAGAGCTTCCCTATTGATGTTATGTAGTTTGAATTTGCATAGACTATGGTTCATTATGTTTGACTGATCGTATGGGCTATCGCTTGAACAAACTGTCTTACAGGTATGTTATTTAAAACGTTTGAGGATAACCGTAGTGTGCGTTGGTTCATTGTGGTCTGTCCAATATTAGGCCTGCTTACTTAATGATTGTAGTGACCATCTTGTGAGACATTTGAACCAAATCTGCCCTTATAGCCTCCCCTACGATGCGTAAGGTAAAGCATGGTGTCGGGAAGTACAGTCTTATTTTTATTTGGTAGGGTCAACCTATTATTTTTGATATTGGGTCTAGAACCAGAAGGTTCTGTACTTACATTCTTCTTACGTGGCAAAGATATTTTAATCTTGACAGCGTTTTTAAGAGTTGTAGCATTAGAACTAAGTACTTGCTCATGGGCTTCTAATGGTAAACTGGGTAATATCGGATTAGTGACGTCATTAGATGTACTTTGGCTATCAGATGTCACTACAGAGATAACAAGCAAATTAGCACTCTTTGTTGGTATGTCAGAGCACTGGAGAACATGAGATAGTGTAGCTGCATCAGTGGATCCGGCAGCTGTTGCATCGTGGTTTGTTGTGATCTCAACACCTTTATTTTCGTTCAACGTACGTTTTAGCGTAAGCCTTTGGTTAGTGGTCTTATCTGAGACTATACGAGCGTTTCTAAACTTCGTAAGTACGCAGATTAGCCGCTCGGATTCTTTTAACCGTTCAGCTAATATATGAGAGTCAAATCTGAACAAGACCAGGCACGAGTAATTCTGGTGTTTTTTATTAAGTCGAATGCATTGGCATGGACTGTCTTGAAGGTAAGATGCTTTTAATATCGAATTCCTTACTGTTTTAATGGGGATTCTGCCAGGTATATTACAGACAATCACGTTATTACGAGAGATTATTCGCTTGGTAACTTCATTAGCGATAAAGTCGATAACAGATTCTGCTTTTATGATGTCAAGTTCCACAGGAACGATATCTTTTGACAGGAGCAGCTTAAGGGGTGATAATGTCTTTATTTCTTGTCTTACATCATCATGGTTTGATAAAGAGCTAGCAAGTGACTCAACTTTAGAACGCATGTCGGTTAGTTGTTCAAAGACAGTGTTTAATTCACTCTTAATATTATCGAGACTCTTTGATCTTGATGTGGAACTCATTATTAAATTAGAGACAGAGTCATCCAGCATCAGATGTGGTGTAAGACTTATCCCAACATCAGCTTCAAAAGAAGTAGCAGAACATGGGGAATAGGTAATGGCAGAATTGTTATTATCTGAAGTATTAGGGCTTTTCCGGGCTCGTTTTTTTGACAGTCGACCCATATCGCTTTAAGTATAGATTTTAAAGCTATTTTCAAGTTATAAACTGGGATCCAACGATATTTAAAAAAATACAAATTAGATACCGTGTTATCGTAACGCAAACTTCAAACGTACCACGTTTGTTTAAAAAAACGGATAGTAGATAGCAGTGAAATAAAATTTGACGCACGTTTCTACCTACTTGGGAGTCGTCAGCTAGGTGCGCACCCCAGGATTCGAACCCAGTACGGTTCGTTTCAAACGCCATGGTATTATCCACTTAACCACTGAGTTCCGATGGACACTTGCTTGTGCAAAGGGTTGAAGTTTAAATTCACTTGGTGTTGTTTGCTTGTTGTTGTTGCTGTTGTTTAGAACTGAAATTGATCAGCCTCTTGTTAGCATATGTGCATTTTATGAGGATTGCTTTGATATTCACTACAGCATTCAAACCCAATCCTTGAGTGAACATCAATTGTGAGATATAGATACATCCGGCTGGCGAGTCGCAAATAGGTCGAAACGCACGTCCTCGATTTCACTGATATGCACTATCGATCTTTGCTTCTAAAGCTTATGACTTGAAGTAATATCGAAGTGATCTGCACAGCATGCACGCATGCCAACAACAAGTGAATTTAATCTTCATGTAGGCCTTCTGAATTTGTATTGTACTTGTGATGTATGAATTCTTGAACTCTCAACTACGTATTTATATACATAAGAAATTTGAATCGAAAGAGAATCCATCTAACATATATTGTAAACTAATACGTAGAGTTGTATTTATCCATATTAAATTGTCAAACATTTGCAAACAGATTGTGTCTAAGTCCTTGAGTGAACGACTCATCTTTCAATTACTAGAATTTTAAAACGAAGAAATTTGTTATCAGTTTAGGAGAATATTTTCGATAAATTAGAGTAGGATTGCGTTATCAGTCAATTTCTAAGGCAACAGAAATAGTGTGGTATTACATATTACGCACAAATTTCGTTAGTCTATAAAACATTTGTTCATGTATGATACTGATCATTTAGGTCAATAGGTTGACCTGCAGTTTCAGTGAGTTCTGTTTAACACAATATTAGAGTGGATCATACAAACAGACTTGTCTTCTACACTTGTTATGATTAATCAGTCGACAAAACTTGCCTATAATTGAAGAATAACAATGAGAGTTGATGCTCAATGCACACTGTTGCGATTTCTTCTTTAGAGATCACTGAAGTGTGAACAGAAGTAAGATCACGACTGGTCGATCTTCAAGGCATCTTAAACGAATTACTGTCAGACGATTCATCAAGCAATTCGAAATCAGTGTCGAAATTACATTGAACATTGATGAAGTTTATCTCATAATTCTAGTTTGAATTTAAGAGAGAAGATATTAGAATCTCAATTAAAGTCATTGTTTCTTTACTCTCACACAGTGTTTAATTAAAATATCAAATGAAGAATAGCTTATTATTATTCATCTGTATTTTGTACTTTCACACTAGACAAAATAGAGTTCAGGTATCCTTATCATTTTGACTAAATATTTTCAGACAATGAAACAAAACTCTTTTGAAGATCGAATGTTGTTCTCGTCAGACTATTGCTAAACACACACGTACCACAATAGACCGACCCATTATTACTTTGGTACCTTTTATTTTCATATTGTCTGTATGATGAGAAATACTTTTTAAACCTAATCTAATGAATGTCTGATTTATGAATGTGCCAGAGTATCTATGATACCTAGAAATATTTGGATTCTGATTGCTAATTAGCAATATCAGATAACTACCCAATATCTCATATAGAAGATTTTAAAAACGGTTTATCGGGTATGGACATATTTACTAAAGTAGCTTTGTTCCTGTAAGCCAAATGATGAGAGGAACATCAACGAACACAATATGCCGAAAAATGGAAACAGATCTGAGAAGAATGAACAAAAATTGGATAGAACTACAAAAGATGTTTCATAACAATGTTTAAACACAAACCACTTATTACTCGTGAACAGTAGCGAGAGACATTTTTACCCAAGTATCTCAGCAATATCACTCACGACTGGATAAGGTGTGACAAGTTTAAACCATCACTTACTCCTCAATTCGAAGGTTTATCCAAACCTCGATATTTCGTGGTTTACATAGTGTCTATTTCTTTCCGAATTACTAATACAAAAATTTGATAAAACTAAAGAGGTAGATCCATGACATAGAGGGTTGGAGAATACTAGCCTATGGCCCATGATTCCTTGACGTTCACAGGAGTTACTAATTACGTATCGCTTTTCCATAGCATATCACAAGCTGCCAGCAATTGCGAAAGATATCTCTCGGACAACCATTACTACAGATTTAGGTCTCTCTGAGTCTCATCCGCCCCATCCTTTTGTGAAAGCTATTATTATAAAATAAAATTTGCAGACGATGAGCACAAGTCGGTTGGAGAGTGTTTGGCGTGTCAACATTCAAGTACCAATCAACAAGCGGATTCATCTATCAGAGTTCACTCGCAACAAAATACAATTTTCGCCCACGTTCACATCGCCTTTGTAGGCGTTCATATAATTTTGACGTTTTCGAGAAGATTTGTAGCCTATGTGAATGAAATTGTTGTAGTTTTGTTCTCTGAGTTGCATGGTTTGATCATGGAGCTTTGATCGTTCTTCTGAAATGCCCCACTGTTTGTGTTAAATAGTAAAATCTTAAA